TCGTAGATAATTACAATAATCGCACGGGTTTTACCTTATAAATAATAAAACCTTTTTTAACTTTTTGTCAAATCGAAATAACATGGGGTTAATTATTGTAAAAGAATTCTTATTCAAAATTATGCACATGTGACACATATTTATGAATGAATTATTTATTCTTATATTATATGAATGAAATAATATTTATAATTAAACATTAGATATATATATATATATGAATATTATAATAATAATTATTTAAATCGTAACTATCGTGACTTTTACATAATCATGATTATTTTGGAAGTCCACACGTAAGGGATGTCGAGAGTATACTAAAAGGTGTGGTAATTAAGTGAAAGAGGTCTTAAATTTACGATGAAGTTTCTCATTCGTGTTCTATGTTCATAATAAAAGCTGTAACTGTTGTTTTTGTTATTGTTGTTATTGTCATGCTGCAATTACTCGTCAAATTAGAAATTATATTAGGACGAAAATTACCTTAGTCTGAAAAAAAAAAATATGTAATGAAAAGAATCATATTATAAATGATCTAAGGGGGGGGGGGTGTATAGTAATCGATATATTCTTGATAAAAAAGTATCATTGAAATGAATTTACCTTTTCGTGTCATAATTACGATCAATTAAACGCTTTGTGTCACGTAATTACGATACACATTGATACTCTATGTTTGTGTGTTTGTGTGTGTGTGCTTTCATCGTTAACGCTTAAAAATCGTTTAAACGATTAAACGCGAGACGAGACGAGATCAGACGAGAGTACAATAAGCAGAAAAAGTAGGAGTGGTTTGTGGACTATAAACGAGCGCGAAATTTACGATAGACGAGCCAAGAATAATAATTAGAACTTTCCTGATCGTTTTGTTCAACGACAACAACGACGACAGTAAGGACAACACGAAATGTATATTTCGAATCTCTACTATATGAAAAAGAAAATAACATTTAATTATAGTATTCACAAAAACATCAAAATTGTTATACTGAATTAAAAATATTGATAAATAAATAGTATAATACTATAGTAGTTATCATTTTTAGATAGTATAATTTTAAGATTGGTGATAATTAGTGGTAGACGAGGGGTGTGTTAAGAGTAAACCAAAAATGTGAGATAATTATAAGTGAAATAATGATAAGACATTGTAAAAAACTTTGTAAGTTGTGCAATAAAAACCTGATTATATATATGTATAGTATAATACTATAATCATGGATAATTAAACTACTTACACAAAAGATAAAATATTAAATAACAGAATAAACAATATAAGTGATTATAATATATGTTAATAATCAAAATATATACTACAATTCTAATAATAATTTATAAAAATACAAATATAAATCTATAATTGTAACATATATTAAATAAATATTAATATAAATATTATAATAAGGAGAATAAACATATGATCAACTATCGTTTCGTGTTTTAATAAATTAATGGAAAGAGTATAGTTTTATATATATATATATATCAAAAACAAAAAACAAAAGGGAGAAAAAGATAAAAAGTTACATTTGAAACGAAGTGTATTTTTCAGACTTTTCCATGAAACTACCATCACCATTCGACCTCCCTTCCTCTTCTCCTTTTTTCTCTTTATTCGTTTCCTAGTAGTTCTGTGCAAAAGAAAACTGGTGGAGGTTCTATTACGTGTATTTCATGTCCGTAACAAGCAAGTGGCAACCATTTCCGTCCCCTTTCAATACTACCCTCTATCTCCTCTCTCTTTTTACCTTTATTTTTCTCTTCTTCTTCTTCTTCTTCTTCTTCTTCTTTTTTCTTCTTCACTATTCGTACCCACGGACGATCTGATATTCTTATCTAACCGAGCAAAAAGAAATTCTTTTTAACCGAACGGTTTACTTGCAACGTCACGAACTTAACTAGCATAACATAATGCACGTTAAAAATTCGATCAATTTTTTAGTTCCTTTATTTCTTCCTTTTTTTCTACCCCTTACCCCTATTTCCGATAATAAATAATAACTCCGAACTCTTCTACGTTCAATTTGATCATATTTTTCTTTTCTCACGTTTCTTTAGATTTAAATTTAGATTATTGCTAATTGTATATCACACATGATTGCGTGCCCAATGAGAAAAGAACAAAAAGAAATATATTCCGTGGATGTTGTTGGTGTTTGTATCACGCGTAGAAAATAAAAAAATATATATGTATGTGAATTTATATACGAATGATTTATTGCACAACAAATGATGCGTTGTATATCACGAGATTACGCGACATTTAAAGTTACAATACTATCTCGCTTTTGTTTTTTTTTTAAATGATATCTATGGTACGTTCCAATAATCAGAATTTACAAAAAAATATAATCTGTAAATCGAGTTCAATTGAAATATATTTCCAATTGATTCGTCCCAATGTAATATTGATTTTAATTTTTCGTTATTGGAATGAAATTTCTGCTAGATTGTATTGTAATTTTATTTGACCATCGTCCTGTGTATAGATTTATCTTTAATTAGAATTCTTCTTAAACACTTTAATACATTGACACATATCGATGATATACCAGCAGTTTATTTCAATCATTTTGACCTTCGTTCTTAATTACAACACACCTATTTCTCCGTTCTCTTACTACTTTTTTATTACGAACATCCAATTAATCTCGATCACCGAAAAGTAATTCTCACTGCGAACAGTAAACCCCTACGATATACTAGAACTCTTTCTCCATTTCTTTTGAACTTATTCTTTTTTTACATTAAACTACATTCACAAATCTTCTCGAAATTTTTGTTAAACATTGAAACAATTCAATTCTTAATTATGGGTTAATATTATTTTCAATTGTATTTCTTTAATTTTCGATTGGAAAACCAATTTGTGTTAATAGAAATATATTTAAATAAGATTAATAATTATTATGCAACTCGTGATTAAAATTATTTTGAAAAACAAAATTATTTACTTTCTGCATTTAACCCCTTTCTTTCTCTTTTATCAAACGCGAACTATTTTTCTTCTTTTTATTTTTCTTTTTCTTTTTTTATATCTTTTTTATTTTTTATATATAAATTCCAACCAACGACTATGGGAAAACTCTTCGCGTAACGAGATCCGAGTTTCGATCTTACGAAGAAAAATAGAAAATAACGTTTAGCTAAAGGGAGAAAAATTGGTTCGCATTTTCAGAAGTTAACTGTGTATGTGTGTGTGTGTGTGTGTGCACGACCGATCTCAAATCTTCTTCGAGAAAACATACAGATTATTACTATGATGGTTGGTTATATTCTCTCACGAGAGAGGATATTATTTTCGAAATAACGCATCCATCTTCATGTATCCTTCTAATATGTTTGTAAACAATGAAAGATTACCGAGTAATATTACACGATTTTTTGTTCTAAATAATATCGCGTAAAAATATTACAAGAATAATTAAGTTTTTGTTACATATATTATTATATTTAAACATTATTATATATACAATGAATCCTAGGAGTGTATTCGTAAAACAATCAATATTTTTCTTGTAATACAATATTTTCAAATTCTTGTAATATACAAAAACATATTTTCAAATTATTCAACTTTCAAATTGATTTACATTAAATGTGAGAACAAGAAATCCATTATTTTTAAGTATATTTAACATTAATTATATATAAATAAATTTAAATCATCAAATTCTAATCATCTAAAAAGCATTAGAAAATGCAACTAACATTATTACTAAAAATAAATAATAATAATACATTTCTATGCATAAGTATATCAAAGTTTTGATATTACAAACAAATATCTATTATTTCAAATTGACAGTAAAAGTGTATATAAATACTTCTATGATTCATAATACATGTAAATACATTTACACACACTTAGACTATTAAAATTTAATAAAATAACTTTTATCTATTCTCTCTCGACAAGTGTACTGTAAATATATTCACATTGTTTAATACGTAGATTTATACATATACATGAAACATATATACATTTGAAATATTTTAATTTATCGTGACACCCCGTGATAAACGAATATTGTTATATATGAGAGATGTTTCAAAAAAATATATATAATAAAAGAATAAAATCAAAAGCTTCGTACCGTCCGACAAAGTTACCTTGATACGTGGAAATTGAATTTTCAAAAAACAAACCGCTATCCGTCTCTGGTTTTCCCCATACAAATTGCCACTGGGTTGGGTGGACGTAAAATTTGTCAAGTAAAACAGAGGATATTATGAAACGTTAGTATGAAATAAAAATAAAAACGAAAATAAAAATAGAGAGAGAGGGGGCTGGTGGGAAAAGAAGGATCAACCAAAAAAATGAAGAAAATAATTTGAAAGTAATACACAGAATTCGGTGAATTAGTCTCCCGCGAAAATCTTATACCACAACTGTTAACACCATCAGTGCTAGCGAAACAACACAACCCCACTACCACCATTACTACCACCACCACCACTACTACCACCACCCCATTTACCCTCGTCACGTGGAAAAGAATATGATCCGCCCCCGACATTACTTTCCACTACGCAGAGTTTCCTCGTAATTTTTAACTTTGTTTTTAAGAACTTAAACTTCTTTTTCACCGCACTTCTCTCTCTCTTTTTCTCTTTCTCTCTTATTTCTTCAACTTCTCCATTCGAATAAATTCTATAAGTTTTTTTTTCTCTCCTTTTTCCTGACTTATCAATAAAGAAGCTCAAATAAAAGTTAAAAAACAAAAGAGAGAGAGAGAGAGAGAGAGAGAAACAAAAAGAGAATATCCTTTAAAAAGTTCTTAAAGTTTAACTCTGCAACATTACAGTTATTATTATTATTATTATTACTGTCGTTATTTTATACACTTATTAACTATAATATAAAAATATATTAAGATAAAACAGAAAGCAAAGAGTAATGACCGAAAAAAAAGAACAAAAGAGAAATAAAATAATAAAAAATCACGTGTTAAAGATCGGATTGATATAATCGATATAAGGGATCGTTGACTACTGACCTTGACTCTCCGACATCTCCGAGCTGCGATGGATCTTGACTGTTTTCTGAGCGCCTCCAGAGGAAACTGCTGGCCACTGGTTTCGTTCGAGGAATTTCCACCTCGGTGCCACTTCGTAAACTACCCTTTCGCACCCCCGCCCTATGCTTTGCTCGATCAAAAATCTCACTTCGTGCACCGATTGTTTTGATATCTTATTAACAAACACCCCTAACAGCAGCAGCAACAACACCACCACCACCACCACCACCACCACCAGTAGCAGCAGCAGCAGTAGCAGTAGCAATAATAATAAAATTAACAACACGATGACGATGATGACAACGTCAATGTACGTTGTCAACTATCACGATTTAATTATCAATGAAAAACAATTCGAATCCGTGTCGAATAAAACAAACTTTTGTAATTTCACCGACGTAGAAGAAGAAGAAGAAGAAGAAGAAGAAGAAAAGGAGGAGGAGGAGGAGGAGGTAGAAGAAGAAGTGAAATTATGTGAGTGCATTCGCAAAAACTTTTTCGATTCTTGTTAGATTTGTTTTTTCTTTTGTCTCTCTCTCTCTCTCTCTCTCTCTCTCTCTCTCTCTTTTCTATTTTTTGAAGGACTAATATAAATTTGATCTAACAATTCACACAATAAACTTTATATATAGATATTATATTTATGGGTTTACATATATGTGTAATATACGTATGTATGTATCTACGAAAGGGTGAACGTTAAAACGAGGGGAAAGAGGAGCAAACGAAAGGACGCGAATCGCTTGCGGCACAGTCTGGGCGGTAACTGAGGCGAATGTAGGCGTCTCGACGCTCAGCATCGCTACTACCCCCTTCCCCTCTGCTCACCAACGCTTATCTCCTACCACCTTCCAGAATCATGCTGCTGGCTGGCCCTCTCTATGCCTTTTATCGTTTCTATATTTACTTTTTTTTTCTTCTATGTATTCTATCTATCTATCTATCTATCTATCTATACTATCCTATCTATCTCATTCTTCCTATTTGTTTTCTTTTTTCTATCCATCTATCTACCTATTTTTTTATTTTTATTTTTTATATTTTTCTTTCTCTTTATATATATATGTCTATCTCAAACAATAGTAATCCCGAATCTAACTTGGATATGTTCGTTTTAATTGCAAGGATTTAGCCGATAATATATATCTAAATACAAATATAATATATATTATATACCAGTTAATTATTTCGAAAAGTTTCGAACCTAATCATAAAAATAATTTCATTTTCGGGGATCGAGTTTTTATTTTTATATTTATTCATTTATGTTTTTTTTATATTATATGACCAAATGTGTTTATTATATATTGTTTTGATCCAATTAAATGTTTCATTCTTTGTTCAGAGTCAAAACTTTTTAAACCCACCCTTATAGATTGGCCAATAAGTTATTTATTTATTTTTTTTTTTTCAACAAAAATCACACGGACTTATTGGATGGCCTAAAAGTATTTAGTCCAAATGGGAAATGCCTAGACAATGTATTTACACAATACATTTTATACATTACATAATACAATGTATTTAATTAAACAATCTAGGAAATAGAAGAATTGTTATAGACTTTTCCTAGATATTCAATAGAATGACAAATGAGAAACCGATAACAGTGGGCCCTACATAATAATACATCGGCATAAAGTAAGTTCCAATTTATAGAAGTGAGCTTCACGAAAAAGCTCAAAAATCAAGAGGAGGAGCTTCCCTTTATCGTTTGTCCTTTCGGTTCGTTTGATCAGCCGAGCGCTTATGGTGGTGGTGGTGTTGTATGTGTGTGCGCGGGCAACAGCCCGATAATGTATTCTTCTCAGCATTAACTAAATAGCATTTGGTGTTCTATAAAATACCTAAGTAATATGTACAATGTCTAGGAAAAGTCTGCAACCAATTTTTTTCAGCGAATTTTAGGCATTACCTGGGGGGACACGGCAATGTGAACGATGCCTGGGGTACCCGGTATTTTGGGCAATGCCTAAAAACGCCTGGCATTGTAAACAATTATATAATAACTGAAAATAATTGAATATAAGACTTCTATTCTTTTGAAGAACTTCATGTGAAAAATTGCGCGTACAAATACGCACATCCTGTAAAAATAATAATTATAATAAAAAACTATTGTTTAAAATCAAATTTATCTTATTAAAAGCACTATATAATTCACTATAGTAATTAATTATTACTTCTATTTGTTATTTATCGTACAAGTTATATTAACTATAAGAATATACTAACCAGGGGAGACTACGCTCTGCACCCCTTCGATTTTTTAGAAATTTTGCACTCTTGTAGTAGTCTCTTAAAAGATAACATACCACAAAACTATAAAACATCTAGAAGCTGAATAAATAAACAATTGAGAATATTGTAAACATCTATACGTACGTAAAAAGACTGAAGGGTTTAAAAAGGGTTGTTTGATTATGCACATCGTAATGGTTTCGCGGGTTTTTTTTGAATTTACTTTTACTACCCTGTCGCGATCCGAGCGCCCTCTTCTACGCGCGCCAAAATTTGTAATATGGTTTCAATATTAATGGGAAATATTTTCTATTATAATTACGAAAATTTATAAATCTACCTAATTCTGATTCTACATCTTTTATTATTATTAAATGCTAAATTATTTAATGATATATATTTGAATAAATAAAGATTTTGTATCGTTAAATAATATCGTAAAAAAAGAAAATTAAATGATGTTATATTCAAAACGTTAAAGGCAATGTTGGCAATACGTCGATAATGAAAAAAGCTACGTTTCCAATGCAAACGAAATATCAACGTCGAGAAATCCTATTGGTTAAATGAATAAAATTGACGAATAACATAACTTTGTTAGTTAGAAATTATGCTTGATTATTTTCATGATTAAAATGTTGCCAACTTTTCTTGCTGTAATTTGCGAACTATGCTAATTCTTCTAACAGTCTCATCAAATTATTTCGAATTGTAAAAATTATTGTTAAAAAAAAAAGTGATCAATAATTTTTTTTTATTTCTCTATTTATATTCGTTTTTAGTATTTATTAATCCTTATTTAATAACGTCATAGTTTTTCTTATCTTTGATACATAAAAAGTGTCTTCCTTATTTTTAATAGCAATCCACATATAATATATTTTAAAAGCCATGATTTCTGCCACGAATGAAACATCGTTGATAGGTAATATTTTATTTTCAATAAATATTATTTATTTAGTATATACATATGCATATACAGAAATTAATTAATATATATTTTTTTTATTTGTAATATAGATAGAAAAATATGTCCTTTTATGGAAAAATGTTACAGAAAAAATCCAATACATTTTGCAGAAATGTCACATCCACATTGTAAGTATACTTTTAAGATAATAGATTAATATTGCACAAGAGGTATCTTGTAAATGGTGTAACAAGCAAGCAGGAGTTGATTCTACATAAAATATAGAAACTAAGTTGAAAAATGTAGGTTATAATTAAAACATATTTACCTTTGTTTTTGAGAAAAATAAGTTTGAAAATTTGTCTAGTACATATACATATTGATTCAGTTTCAACTCAACAAATGTTGCTATCTTACTTTTGAATTTATCAGAGAACATTATTGTATTTCTTAATATGTTAACAAAACTCTTGTCAGTATAATGATGTTTTTATCTTAAATTTTAATCTACATTTTCAACTGATTTTATTATGTTGAATCAACTCCTACCTGTTTGTATCATCAGTTATAAGATATTCTGTATAAATATATATTAGAATAATAAAAATAAACTAAATAGAAATGTATCATTAATTTCTAGTGGAAAGATTAGTAATCGATCAATTGGACGAAACAATCAAAATACCAAATAATCTAGATTTTGAGTGCGATCGCACTCAACTGTTGCAGCAATTAAAGGTGATGCAAGTTATATTGAGAAGAGAAAGGGACAGAGACGTAGATAGTTTCTTACAATTAAAGATAAACTTATTTTCAACAGTTACTACGAAAAGCTCTTCTACCTCAGAAAGTTCAAAGACTAAAGATGTTATGACCAATAGAAGAACAAATGAACAGAAAATGGAAATGAATGATAAAATAAAAAATCTTTCAGAGACTGCGAACGAAAATAATAAAAAAGAACCTGAAATGTTAACTACGATGGTTAATGAAAAATTAGAAGATATTGTGAAGAGTGAAAAAAGAAATATTCAAAGCGAAGAAATGACAAAAAAAATTAAAGCAAATAATAATATTATTGATAGTGTTGTTAAAGCAAGTAGTTCTAGAGAATGCAATTCAAATGCTAAAAGCATGGAAAGTATAGCAAGTAGCTCAACTGATAATACTTCTTTAATGGATATGTATTTGTCCAGTAAAGATTGCAAAGAGAGAGAACAAATGCGAAATAAAGCGATAAAAATGATGAAACGGGAGGGTTTTCAAATATATGAAGTGACGCCTGGACAATTTATTCATAAATATAAGCGTGCCAGTCCGTATAATATATTTTTTACAAGAATAAGGAAATCAACCCAAACAAGTAATGAATCGCTTACCGTAACCTTTCCTGAAATATTAGATATCAGTCTTGGAGAAATAAAATCCAGTCTACAAATTAATTTCATGGTTGACGTTGGATGGCTTTGCTTACAATATTTATTAGCAGCACAAAAAGCCAATATAACGATTGTATATCAAGATAGAATGGACAATGAAAAGTTAGGCGATAATATTACCTTAGTACGTGTTGCTGCACCATCACGATTTGGTTGTCATCATACAAAAATGATGATCCTGAAATATCAGGATGGTGGAATCAGAATTGTAATGTCTACTGCAAATTTATATGAGGATGATTGGGAAAATAGAACTCAAGGGTAGATAGACATATCCTTTGATTAGCTAATATTTCTTTTTTCTTCTTCCTAAACGGAAGTTTCTACAAAAATTGAAACATATTTCATTTTAATTTTCTACAGACTTTGGATTTCTCCTTATCTACCTCCAATAAAGGGATCTATTGACACGGCTAGTGGAGAATCTAAAACAGGTTTCAAAAAAGACCTCATACAGTATTTGAATAACTACCAAAATTCAGCTTTAGTCAATTGGATCTTTACGGTACGAATGGCGGATTGTTCAGCCATTAATGTTTTCTTCATTGCCTCAGTACCTGGCACACACTCATTAAAAAATATAGATTCATGGGGCCATAAAAAATTGGGTCATGTTCTATCCAATCATGTTACTTTACCAGCAGATGCACCAAATTGGCCAATAATTGCACAAAGTTCCAGTTTAGGAAGCCTGGGACCGCAATATAGCAGTTGGTTAGGGAAAGATATCGTACTATCCATGTCAAAGGAAACTGATAAATCATTGAAGAGTCCTCCGACATTTTATTTTATCTTTCCTAGTATTAAAAATTACAGAGAAAGTTATGACTGTCGACAACTTTCTTGCTGTTTATGTTATAATTTGCTGACGCATTCAAAACAAGAATGGTTCCAGTCTTATTTACAGTAAATCTTAATTCGCATATTATTTTTATTGCATTCCAAATAGATCTCTTTAAACGTTATAATATTTTATAGTCAATGGAAAGCTTCAAAGATGCATAGAACCAAAGCAATGCCACACATTAAAACTTATGCAAGATTATCACCTGATTTAAAAAAGATGGCTTGGTTCATGCTAACCAGCGCGAATTTAAGTAAAGCTGCATGGGGAAAATGTGGTACGAACTATTCCATAATGAGTTACGAAGCTGGTGTATTATTTCTTCCTGAATTTGTGGTGAGTATCAAAGAGGAAAATAGAATAATATCAAGTATTGCTTAGATCTGATTTAAACGATAAATTTTATTTTTCTGATAGACCGGAGAAAAGATGTTCTCGTTAGAAGGTAATGACTCGAAATTTCCACCATTTCCTATTCCATACGATCTACCATTAACTCCTTACGAAACGGGCGATCGACCATTTGTGACGGAATTTTTCCGAGAGTGAAAGAAGATTTTCCATAAATGATTACACGGGTACGTTAAATTTACGTTACAATGGACGATATGTGATATTAATGGCGCGCTCTTTCTACCCTCCTACTTTACTATCATTATTCCTATTATATTTAATAACACTATACATGTATATATAATGATTTGTTTTTATAGCTATGTAATTTATTATTGGACGATATGTGTACAAATATTTTCTAATAAAAAATTCATTTATTTCCATTGAAAAATTAAATTTCGGATATTCCATTACTATAACGTCGCGGTTGCGCGGAGATGGAGGTATTTCCGAAAAAAAAAAGAAAGAAAGAAATAAATGAAAAATATATATAAACCAGCCAAGAAAAATACTCGTTTTCAGGTTCGTCACGCGTAAAGAGAAAATTTTATAAAAGTGAATCGGCTGTTGCAAAATTTTTGGATTCGGTACGTTAGACGACGAGAGAACTACGACAAATACTCTTATTGTTAGTATCGCTCGAATTCGTGAATTCGAGTCAGTTACCTCGACGGGTACGCGTTTTCCATAAAACATCAGCAAGAAAGCGCTTCCTGATGAGAGGCGGAGACACAATCCACCACCTCCAAGTGATATTGACTCGTTTGTGCATGCTCAGACTTCGAACAACGTTTAACCAGTCGTTCGTACCTCCTCCTCTTTCTTACTTTTATTTCTGTCATTCTCTTTCTCTGTCTCTTACTCATTCTTTATTATGTCTTTCTCTCTTTCTCTCATTCCTTTTTGTTCAATCTACACGAGATAATTACACGAAGTATTCAAACATTTCGCAATAAGAATCATTGATCGATTCCCGCCTATATGGATAACTTAAGCAGCCTTGAAAAACAAATATCTCATGTTCCGCTATCTACGTACATCTTTACATACAGTATATGTATTATGTACCCATATATGGCAGAGAGAAAAAGGAAAAAGATATTAGGAAAAAAATACATTAATACTACTACCATACTGTACAAGTAACATTTGTATATATATATATATATATATAGTATATGTGTATGTCTAATATAGATACGGATATACATGGAGGACGATGGCTTGATTCGTCATAGCTCTCACGTTTCTTTCAAGGATATCCTCTAATTATTATAATGAATTTCTCACATAAAAAAAAAAAAAAAAAAAAAAAAAAAAAAGTAATTGTCTCTCGAGATAAATTTTGATAGTTAATTTACAAAATTTAATCAGAACCACCATGTCAATCTATTCTTCTCCGTGTATCTGTATTCTATACACACACACATACACGTATCCTCATTTTATCCTTTTAACAGTTTGCGCGCAAAAATCGTTACACACACACATTCTATCTATACATTACCGGCTCTTAATTCATTTCTTTGTTTTTTTTTTTTTTTTTTCTTTTTTTTCTTTTGCTTGTTTTTTTACTTGCATGTGTATCAGCTAATAAAAATCGACAATATTCATCGATAAGATTTGAACGTCTCCTAATCTCTCAAAGAGTTGATAATATCTATTTTATGTAATATTAACATAAACGAGATAAGTTCGCACTTTCTCTCTCTCTCTCTCTTTCTTTAATCTTTGTTAAACCATATAAAAATAGTACATTTTTGTCGAATTGATTGAGATTAATTATATATGTGAACAAACAATTTTTTTTCAATATTTAAAAAAAAGCTGCAGAAGTTAGGATTGCAAGAGATAACATATTTTTACATTATTCGACATAAAAAAAAAGAAACAAAAAGAGAGATAAAAAGAGTATAATATAGTTAGTAAAAATAGATATGTCTTCAACTAAAGTTTCGTTGAAAAATGAGTAAGTGGCCAGGGTTTCTGCGAACTCTGGTTACTCCTCCCACTTTTGTGGGGAGTCCACAATCCTCCCCCGTAAGGGGAGGACGTTCTAAGCGCAGATGCGAGAAACTCGGAAAGAAACGATACGGCCGTCATGATGACGACGACAACGACAACGACGACGACGACGACGACGCCGACGACGCCGACCACCACGACGACGTTGACGTTGACGTTGATGGTGTTGAGTATAGCAAGCTAAAGAACTATCATCAGTTGTTGATATGTCGTCAATACGAACGGGCTTCCTCTTAGGTCTTTGTACAGGTGTGTGTGTGTGCGTGTAAATGTTATACACTTGTTCTATGTTGCAATAGTGTGCATTCGTTTTGTTTAATTATGCGTTACTGTCACATTTTACTATTGACGATGGTTTTTCCCCCCTTTATTATTGTTCTCAAAATAATAGAAAAAAAAATTTTAATCTGACACCATGAGACGCAACAAATAGAAAAAAAAGAAAAAAAAGATGTTTCCTCGATGAATATATTCATGATTTCTTTTTTCCTAAATTTCCATTCGGTTTGCGTCGTTTAGTTTTTTATCTGTCGCGTTTCTTTTTTTTTTTTTTTTTTCGAAGAGGAAGAACAGAAAAAAAAAAAAGAAACAAAACCATATCTCCGAGATTAATTTTTTTTTTTTTTTAAGTGAAAACGTTGGAATTTTTAGGGTTGCTCCGCGTTCCGATATACGTGCCTCGCCTGATAAATCTCATTGAAAGTGAGCTCGCTCGCTCGCTCGCTCGCTCGTGCATCGAAAGTAGATTTGATTCGAAATGCAAATTAACCCATCGCGATATAATTAAAATATATTCGTTACGAGATCTTTATTTATTCGTTCTTTTATTTTTTTTTTATTTTTATAAGTCGCAGAGACAACTTTTTCAGTAATGATCAGTCGATAATTATAACAAATACATTGACTATAATCTTTATAATAAGAAATTCATTAATATTTATATTCTTATATTTGCTTCA